AAGTCTGAGGACGCTTCCCCCCAGCTCACTCTAACCCCACTCCATCACACAGATTTTTGAGGTGTCCCCCCAAGTCCCAGTCAGCATCCTGACCACATCCCTGGCTCCCCCCTCCCTTCTGGCTTGTCTGGCTGCCCCCATCTCCCTCTCTTCACTCTAACAGCTGAGGGACAGGGCAGCGAGCGCGTGCCTGTGGATTCCGTTGCTAAGGAAACCACTTTCTTGGTTACCAGCCAGGGTAGCATTTGTCTCACTAAGTCTGACTCCTGCTGGGTCGTCCCCTCTCTCTAGGAGGACAGGGAGTTGAGAGAGGACAATAGGGCTCAGAGGGAGGGAGGAGGTGGAAAGAGAACCAGCTAGATGCCTGGAACTCGAGATCTGGGGAATCGGGAGGAGAGCAAGAGAGGTATTTAATGAGCAGTGGAGGAAATGTAAGGGGGGGGGGCGGGAGAGAGAGACAAGAGAGACAATGAGAGCAGAAAGTAGCATAGAGAGAGGCAGGAGACAGGGGCAGTGGGAGAGAACAGAAGAGCCAAAGCCTGGCCTCCTGGAGGAAGAGACTCTAGCAGCTTGGCCCCTGCCTCCATGTCCTCTCCGCCTCCACATCTGGCTTCCTCCAGCCCTGCTCACTAGGACATGCTCCCAGAATGCTCTAGGGTTGGTGCGCATAAGGAGAGAGGCCAGCTATTGGTATGCTTGGGCTTTGCTTGGTTTCCTCTGTCCTTGGTGCTCCCCTGAGTCCAAACCAATGGAGGGGTGTTCCCCACACCAGGGGTGCTTAAGCCTCCTTCCTCCTTCAGGTGTAAGGCTTTCCACTCTGTGCGTGGAGGGGATGTGTGAGTCCAGCATGGAGGAGAGGGCATTGGCTGACTCTGCTTTTGGCTTCCTGAATGGTTTGGGCCAATTACTGGTGTCGTCCACTCAGAGTGACCCTGTGCACAATAGATCTGAGTCCTGCCCTTGTCTTCCTTGATACACATAAGCCTATTGATGCAGACACTGCATCATTCCATCTCGTGGAATCTCTGTCTACCTTATGAAGTTGGTCAGGAGCAACCCAAATCCCTCTTCGTTCTCTATCTGACCAACGTCTCCCCTTAAACCATCGGATCATTCGTAGCTGGTGGGGAGGGGGGTGTGGTCAGATTGAAGCTTTGCAGGGATGTCGACTTTATTCATTTGTCCTTTTCCCCCCATCCTCAGAACACAACACTGTGTTCTGAGTGGCGGGAGCCCAGAAGGTGCTCAGACAATATTTGTTGAATAAATGCTGCCTTGAGTCTTCCAGGCTGTTTGTGTGAAGATGATGGGATGGTCGGTACAGTGTGATAAAAAGGACAAATATTAGGGAAGGGGGAAAAAGAGGCTGCTAACCTCTCCCAGCTCCACTTTCTGGTCTAAAGTGCTAACTGCACCCAATTTCACCCTCAAAATATAGGGTGGCACCACTTCTGTGAGACCTGACGAGGGGAGTCCAGGAGAGTGCAAGGCTAGAGCTGCATGGGGTCCCTCATGTAGGGTTGTGGTTGTTGCTATTGGGCGTCCTTCAACTACCTCTGATTTACAGCAACCCTACACAACAGAACAAACACTGCTCATTCCTGCTCTGTCTTTGCCATTTCGTAAGCACCTCGAAGCACCCACTGCATCCATCCATCTCCTCGGCCTTTTCATGGACCCTCCACATTAACGAGTCTTTCTCCAGGGACTGGCCCTTCCTGATGACAAGCCCAGAGTATGTGAGATGAAGGAGCATCTGGTTGAACTTCTTCCAAGACATTTTTGTTTGTTCTGCTCGTAGTCTGTTATATATTCAGTATTCTTTACCAACAATACAACTCAAAGGCATCATTAAGGGAGCTCTGGTGGCCTAGTGGCAAGAAGCTGCATTGCAATTCCAAAGGTGCATGGTTTGAATCCACCAGATGCTATGCTGGAAAAGGATGGACAGTCTCCTCCTGTGCCAGTCAAATCTGAAATGACGGCACACAACAAGAAAAGCACAAACAAAACCAAAAACACTGGCATCAATTCTTCAGTTTTCCTTATTTGCTGTCCAAGTTTCACGTGTGAAAATATCATGGCCTTGCCAAGTGCACCTTAGTCTTCAAAGTTATTCTCTTCATACATTGAAGAAATCCTTGGCTACAGATTTGTCCAATGCAGGATGTTATTAGATTTCTTTACTGCTGTTTCCATGGACATCGATTGTGGATCCAAGTAAAATGGAACCTTTGACAACTTCATCCCACACTCATCATGATTTTGCTCATTGGTCCAACAGGAAGGTCCACCATAGACGTCACCCACATTACTACTTAGAGCCAAGGATGGTGGAACTTCACCTCACATACTTTGGGCATGTTGCCAGGAAGGGCCAGTCTTCGGAGAACAGACCTCATGCTGAGGAAGGTAGTGGGTCAGAATAAGAGAGAAGACCCTCAACAGGATGGACTGGACACAGTGACTACAACTGGGCTCATCAGAGACGGTGAGGATAGCGCAGGCTTCCCATCTGTGTTTCTCAGGGTCACGTTAAGTCACCTAATTAACATCAGTGCACAGAGCCAAGCAGGGGCTCTACAGGCCCCTCGGATCTCTTCCTCCCCCCTCTCACTACCCACCCCACACTAACTCTCCCACAGTTACAAAGATCTAAAGTTTACATGGAAGCAACAAACCCTCCCCTAAGAGACAATGGTCTCATTTATGAGACGGAACCCCAGTGGCCGTATCCTCCTGTACGTGCCTGCAGCTCCACACACAAGAACCCACAGAGACATTAAAAAGGGGACAGTTACCACACTACCTGGAAGGTGGTCTCTAACACACAGAAGGGCAGTTGGACTTGGAGGGTTTTACAGAGGCACAGAGTTCTACACAGAGATGATTATAGCTGTGATGCTGGAGAAGAGTATTGAGGGTACCATGGACTGCTAGGAAAACAAAGATTCATCCTGGAGAGGGTTAAACTGGGCGGCTCCTTGGAGGCAAGGATTCTGAGGCTCCGTCTAACATACTTTGGACATGTTGTGAGGAGAGATCAGTCCTTGGAGAAGGACATCATGCTTGGGAGGATGGAGGGACAGCGCAGGAGGGAAAGGCCCTCTATGAGGTGGATTGATTCAGTGACTGGGATAATTGGGATGGGAGTGTCGGAGACAGTGCGATTGGCACAGGACAGAGAGGAGTTTAGGGCTGTTGTACATAGGGTTGTTATGAGTTGCAAGTGACTCGACCACACATAACAACAACAACTCTCACAACACCCACCCCCCACCCCGCCACTCTCTCACACACGGTCACACACTCTCACAACCCCATGTATGTAGTCACCTTATAAAACACTCTGCCACATGGTAGAATTATCAATAAAATTCGCATTTAATGATGGTGTTGACCTGAGGAATCTTCAGACAGAGAGGCCTAAGGCCTGAGGCGACCACCAGCAAAAGAGCCGGTCCAGGTCTTGGCCCAAGAGTTTCCCAGAGAGGGCTGACCTCCAATGGGAAAGGAGGGGCCAGCCTTCTGCTTCACTAAAGACTAGAAATTAAGCCCAGGGAAAAAGAAAACACAGTACAAAATACATTCAGAGCCCCTGGCTGGGCCCAAATCCCATAGAGAAGCAGGAAACCACAGGCCCACTCCCCATGCCCTTCCCTACACGTGGTCAGATTCCAGGGGGTGGAATGTATTAGGCATACTCCTCTTAAAAAAATATATCTCTCTAGACTCGCCTCTTCCGCAATCCCTTTGGGCTTTGGGAATGGGCATACACCTGCACCTCCAGGCTTCCGAGGGGCCACCTGGGGAGGCTGCTCCAGACACAGGAGCAGAGAGGCTGTGATCTATGGCTTTTGCATCTCTGTGGTGAGGGAGGAGGTGCGATGCACAGGCGGACTGGATGAGAAGCCACTAGTATCCAAGGTGCAGAGGAGACAGGACTCCGGGCCAAAGCTTCGTAAGACAGAGGCTCGTGGACTCAGGTTTGTGGGAAGCCTTTGGTTTGGTGTTTCAGCATCAAGAGTGCAGTGTCCTATGGAAGTGTGAACCCCCTCATTTACCTCATTCATTAAAGAGTCCCCGGTTGGGCTATGATCAGGGGGTGGTCTCCTCTGGGCATGGTTCCAATGATTTGGGGGACTCATGCCGTCTCTCATAGACAGCAAAGAGCCCACTGGTTGCAGTCAGAGAAATAGTGTCAGGTCAACGAGCTGGACCTCAGAAGGGGAAAAAGCATCCCTGGGGTTCTTGCTCTGACTCATTTCTGCTGCATGTGGCCGTCCTGGTGGGTTAAATGGTCTGTTGGTAACTAAGAAATCTTGACATGGGAGCCAGACCCCGGGACCACCTCCTGGATATACTAGGGGGAGAAATGGCAAGATTCTAGGCTCCCTCAGCAGCCAGATGGTCCCTTATAGGCATATGCCCTCGGCTGGGCTCATGACCCCACTGACTCTCAGCCAACCGTGAGCACAAAGCCTCCCCAGAATGCCTGTGACCATGAAAAGACTTTCTAGCACTTTCTTCTAAATGAAAGGTGGCCTGAGATAAAGCTCAATGTCAGTATATTTGGCTACCCAAGTTGGGATGAGCTGGTTGGACAAAGGGGAGGCTATCAGAGCTCAGCCCAGAAAGGAGGGACCACCACTATGTAACTGTGTTTGCTTGTCACCTCCCTGGACATCCAGTGCACCCATGACATGGGGACGCCAACCCTCTGGAAACAGAACCCAGGGTGATGCAGAGGTGGAGGTGAGGACACGGGTCCACGTGGCTGGAGTTCGTCGAACCTGCTGTCCCCTGGGCAGGGTGAGTTGGTGGGGTGGTGGGTGCCTGGACAGTCTCCTTCCTTGACCCTCCTCTATCATGCAGGAAACAAGCAGCCTCAGTCGGCCCCAGACCAGAGAGCAAGCAGATGGGTTGGGGTCTCTCGGGGTGCAGAGCCCCAGGGTCTGCTCAGTCAGGACTTGGCCCACGTGCCCTCCCGGTCAGACGCATCATCTGGGGTAGTAGGCGTCGGGCACGCCTGTGAGGTTCCTCCCTTTCAGGGCTGCGTCCACCATCTTGATGTAGGCGGAGATGGTCTTCTGCATGTCCGCAGTGTAGGGGTCGTACTCGAGCTTCCGCAGTCCCGAGCGCTTGAAGTTGCCGTCCTTCTGGCTCTCCACGCACAGCAGCCTGTCCTCGTGGACGGCCACGCCCAGCAGGTGGACCATGCGGCCCAGCTGGACGAAGAGGTCCTGCTTCAGGTCCTCGAAGTGCACCACCAGCACCTTCTTGCCAAACTTCAGCCAGTCCAGCGTGTGGGTGGCCCACCAGGGGGCGTAGTTCTTCACAAACTCTGGCCACTCTGTGGGAGGGATCAGAGAGGAGGAATGGAGAGGGGGTGCCAGAGGGAGGAGGGAGTCAGGGGGAGTCAGAGGGAGGAGGGGCGAAAGGGAGTCAAAGAGTCAGAGTGAGGAGGGAGCAAAAGGGAGGAGGGATCCAGAGGGAGGAGGGAGTCAGAGGGAGGAGGGAGTCAGAGGGAGGAGGGAGTCAGGGGGAGGAGGGAGTCAGAAGGAGGAGGGAGTCAGAGGGAGTCAGAGGGAGGAGGGGCAAAAGGGAGTCAAAGAGAGTGAGGAGGGAGCAAAAGGGAGGAGGGATCCAGAGGGAGGAGGGAGACAGAGGGAGGAGGACACGAAAGGGAGGGAGGATCCAGAGGGAGGAAGGAGTCAGAAGGAGGAGGGATTAAAGGGAGGAGGGGGTCAAAGGGGAAAGTCAGAGGGGGGAGGGAGTCAGAGGGAGGAGGGGGCAAAAGGGAGTCAAAGAGAGTCAGAGTGAGGAGGGAGTGAAAGGGAGGAGGGATCCAGAGGGAGGGGGATCAAGAGGGAGGGGGGAGTGAGAGGGGGAAGGGAGTCAGAGGGGGGAGTCAGAGGGGGGACGGGCAAAAGGGAGTCAGAGAGTCAGAGTGAAGAGGGAGCCAGAGTGAGGAGGGAGCGAAAGGGAGGAGGGAGTCAGAGGGAGGAGAGATTAAAGGGAGGAGGGAGTCAGAGGGAGGAGAGATTAAAGGGAGGAGGGAGTCAGAGGGAGGAGAGATTAAAGGGAGGAGGGAGTCAGAAGGAGGAGGGATCAGAGGAAGGAGGAATGGAGAGGAGGGAGTCAGAGGGAGGAGGAAGCCAGAGGAAGTCAAAGAGTCAGAGTGAGGAGGGAGCCAGAGTGAATCAAAGAGAGGGAAGAGGGCACCAGAGGGAGTCAAAGAGAGACCGAGGGAGGAGGGAAACAGAGGGAATTAGGGGGGGATGGGGCCAGGAGGCAGTTAGAGGAAGGGGTTGTGGGAGGCGAGGCCAGAGAAAAAAAAAGGAGTCAGAGGAAGAGGGACAAGATGAAGGAACCAAAGAGAAGAGGAGCCAGATAGAGTAGACAATCAGAGGAGGAGGGAACAGAGGGTCAGGTCAGAGGGAAGAGGGAAGGAAGAAGAGAAGGAAAAAGCCAGACAGGGGATGGAAAGGAGGACGGTGTCAGAGTTCAAAAGATCCAGGTTAGATGGTGCAACGGTGATGGGTCATTAATCAAAAGCAATAAACATATTAATTATATTGTTAATATTGTTATGTGCTTTTGAGTTAGAACCATCCCAGAGTGACCCTCCAATAGGTTTTCAGAGACTGTATACCACATGGGACAAGACTGCCTCTTTCTCCAGAGGAGTCACTGGTGGATTTGAACCGTGTGCCTTTGGATTGGCAATACAACTCTTTACCACTAGAATTCCACATTAATGATGTTAATGACATAATTAACTCTGGGGATTTCTGGACTCACCAGGTTGTTCCCGCCTCAGTGCTTTCTCTGCAGGGGCATTCTCAGCTCTTCCTCTTTTGGGGGTAACATTAACACTTTTTTGGGGCTTACAAGTCAAGACCATTCCTAAGAGCTGTCCCAATGTTACACATTCTTCCCACGCATTCTGTGAGGCTGCTGTTGGGAGGAGCTGCAGCCTCCAGTAGAACTCACAGCAAACCTCGGGACAGATCTGAACTCTGGCCTCTCCTGCACCATCCATCCTCATCGTCTCCGACAGGCTTCAGCCCCTGCCGCAGTCATGGTGCCAATCCATCTGCCTGAGGGTCTTCCTCTTTTGCTTACCCTCCACCTTTCCAAGCATGATGTCCCTCTCCAAGGAACAGCTTCTCTTAGCACATGCTTGGAGTGAGGAGCTTTCGTCATCTTTGCCTCGAGGGACACTCTCGAAGCACTTTCTGCAAGACATACTTGTCTGTTCTTTTGGCTGTCCGTGGGATGTTCAGTGCTCTTCTCTGACACCACTGCTCAAAACCAGCTATCCTTCTTCTGTCATCCTTACTCACTGTCCAGCTCTCAGAGGCAAAGCAAGTGACTGAAGAGACCCTGGCCTGCATCAGGGGTATTTTAGTCTTCAAATTGCTGTCACTGCTCTTCAATAATTTGCAGAGATCCCTTACTGCAGACTTTTCAGTGCCATACGTCTCCTGATCTTGACTGCTGGTACCAATGGTGCTCACTTTGGATTCAAGCAAGATGAAGTCACTGACAGTTTCATTCTTTTCTTCATTTATTATGATACTGCTTACTGGACCAGTGGTGAGAGTTTTTCTTTTGTGATGTTGAGATGTAATCCCTACTGAAGACTGTAGTAGTCTTTGATCTTCTGTAGGAAGTGCTTCTCACTTTCAGCAAGCAAGGTTGCTTCTACATAACGAAGGTTATGGATGAGTCTTCCTCCAATCCTGATGCCACAGTCTTCTTTATAGGGTCCAATACTGGCCTGGAAGTCAGCCTTTTTGACATACTGCCTACCACTTTGCTCAGTTGGCCTTTTAGGTTTACAGCAAGACCAGCCTGGAAGTCAACCTTTTTGAGACCTGGGCCCCTTTGGGCCTTGGGGTGACAGGTATGGAGCACCAGCATCAAAGATCCAGCTGAGATATCCACATCAAGGACCTTTCCCCACTGTGCCAGCCATAGGCCTCAGCCAGAATACCGAAACAACCATCCTACTGTGCTCCCATAGGCCTCAACTGGATCTAGCAACATAACATTCATATGTCTGATTTGCTGCTAGAGGTACGACACTTGTGTCAGTTTATTGTACAGGGGGAATGATTTCCATGCTGTTACTTTACTATGTTGTTGTTGTTGTTATGTGCCGTCGAGTCGTTTCCGACTCATAGCGACCCTATGCACAACAGCCCTAAACCCTGTTCTATCCTGCGCCAACCGCACCGCCTCTGATACACCCATCCTGATTACCCCAGTCACCGAATCAATCCATCTCATAGAGGGTCTTCCCCTCCTGCGCTGTCCCTCCACCCTCCCAAGCATGATGTCCCTCTCCAAGGACCCGTCCCTCCTGGCAACATGTCCAAAGTATGTCAGACGAAGCCCCAGAATCCTTGCCTCCAAGGAGTAGCTTGGTGTAATCCTCTCCAAGATGAATCTGTTTGTTTTCCTGGCAGTCCAGGGTACATTCAGTACACTTCTCCAGCACCACAGCTCAAAAGCATCCACTCTCCTTCTGTCCTCCCTAGTCATTGTCCAACTCTCTGATGCATAACAAGCGATTGCAAATATCATGGCCTGTATCAGGCGCACCTTAGTCTCCAGAGAGACACTGTTGCTCCTGAGTACCTTTGAGAGGTCCCTAACAGCAGACTTTCCCATCGTGATACGCTTTTTGATTTCCTGACTGCTGGTACCAAGAGTGTTAACTGTGGAGCCGAGCAAACTGAAGCTGTGAACAATCTCAATCTCTTCGTCATCCATGCTGACGCTGCTAATTGGTCCAGTGGCGAGAATCTTTGTCTTCTTGACATTGAGCCTCAGTCCACACTGAAGGCTGCAGTCCTTGACCCTTCGCAGCAAGTGCATGAGGTCCTCCTCAGTTTCAGCAAGCAGGGTTGTGTCATCTGCATAACGCAGATTGTTAATAGATCTTCCACCAATCCTGATGCCACAATTCTCCTCATAGAGCCCAGCCTCCCGGATAATCTGCTCTGCATACATGTTGAAAAGGTATGGAGACAGGATGCATCCCTGGCGTACACCCTTCCCAATTTTGAACCATGCAGTGTTACCTTGCTCTGTTCTGATGACTGCCTCTTGGTCCAAGTATAGGTTTCGTATTAGCACAATTAAATGTTCTGGGATTCCCATTCTTCTCAGAGTCAGCCACAGTTTGTTATGATCCACACAGTCAAATGCCTTTGCATAATCAATGAAACACAGATAGACATTCTTCTGGTATTCTCTGCTTTCAGGCAAGATCCACCTAACATCAGCAACAATATCCCTAGTACCACGACCCCTTCTAAACCCAGCCTGGACTTCCGGCAGTTCTCTGCTGATGTGCTGTTCTAATCGTTTTTGGATGATCTTCAGTAGAATCTTGCTTGCATGTGAAATCAATGACACTGTTCTGTAGTTTCCACACTCAGTATAGCTTACGTTATTTTTACTCTTGCTTGTTGATCATTGTTTTTATTAGTAACAGCACTTGTCTGTCAGGCTGCTGTACTGAGGTGATTTGTGTGTTGCTGTACTGAGGTGATTTGTGTGTTGCTGTGATGATGAAAGCTGTGCCAAGTGCACAGGGTCACCTGGGGTAAACCGGTCTCGGCAGAGCTCTCAGATTAACAGAGACCAGGAAGCATGGTTGGTTGTCCACTTCTTAAACAGCAGGCCTATGAAAATTCCATGAACAACAAAGGATCATGGATAGTTACAGCAGTAGAGACAGAGCCCAGGTCCCTACTAGTGGGGACAGCAAGAAACACCTGTCTAGGACTCAGCTGATGCTGATTCACAGTGGTGCCATGCGTGCACAGCAGAACCACAGAACCATGCTCCCTGCTGTGACTTCTTGGGGACAGACTGCTAGACCTTTCTTCCAAGGCACTTCCGGATTGGCTGAACCACCCTGTTAGCTGAGCCCACTCCTGTGGTGGTTGATGTGTACCTATTTACTCCCAATACCCTAAAAGGCAAGATAATGTTCACGTATCACTAGCCAGGCTACCAAGGTTCAGAGAAGTGAAGTGACTTGCCTAAGATGCACAGCCAGGAGGCAGTACTGAGGCCAGAACCCCTTATTTCAAAGGCCCCGTCATTCTGGGGCACCACAAGCCTCACCCTTTCTTATCTCCACACAATGCACTCAGCAAGGGTTCAGTAAATGGTCGGGGAACAAAATTGGAATTCCCAACCACCCCGCTGCAACATGACACAAGCTCCTTTCCTCTGGAGAACACGGGGAATCTGTGCCAAGGCCCTCCCACCCCGTCAGGCTCCCTCAGAACACCCCAGCTGCTTGGGAAATATTTATGCTGGTGACAG